GCGACCACCTTTTTAGTCTTCTGCCAGTTGTATTTGTTCCACTACCTCTTCTGGAAGGAAGATCTGGTCTTCTATTGCTAGTATCTAGTCCCCTGCCAACACTATGTGGTCTTAAGCATTATTTAGACTTGTCCAAACAGTGGGTAATCTTCTGCAACCAGTATACAGTGTTCTATTAGCAGTATCTAGTCCTCTTCTATCTTCTGCCATCTTATAGTAGTGACAAAACCCCTCTGCTTTAAGCAAATTTAATAGTGAATACATAATACAAAATAAAGTATAAAAAATGGTCAAGATTTTTAATTATAACACAAGAGAAAATCGAAAACCAGACAATCGTAAACGGGGGCCACAAGAAAATAATAAAAACCCATCCAATAACCGGTGATCTTTAGGGATTATTATGTTTTATATCCGGCGGGTAATAAAATACACCCCAACAACAGAATCCAACGGGGTTTTTCCTTTTCTTTTATAGCGTCGCATTCCTTTTACACACCTACTACAGTCGACTTAGCAGATTTTTATATTTCTTATGAAAGAAAAGAATGAAACGAACTTAATAAATACTTTAAAAGATAAAGATTTAATTAAAAAAAAAACTTATGATACAATTTTCGTGTATCCTGAAAAACGAAAAAAAAATCGTCGTCAAAACAAAACATCATGTCAAAAGTAACGTGTCAAAAATTATCTTAGAAAATCCAATAACGTCTCGTTAGGATTATCCTCTCGAAATCCTTTCTCTAGAAAAACTATGTCAAAATTTCCACGATGTTGACGAAACTACCCCCGAAAACGACCCAAATAGCCTTGGTGGCGGGAACGAGCTTGGTCGTGCTGTTGGCCGGTCTTTATTTGGCCCGCAGGTTCAAACGGAAGAAGGAAAGCGGAAGTCGGCTTCCGTCCCGGAAGAAGACCCGCAGCAAGGGTATTGAATACGATCGAATCTTTTCGGATTTGAGTCTGCGACAATCGATGCCTGATCAAGTACAGGCGAAAAAGAAGGAAGATATCATCATCTTGCACGAACTCCAATTGGGCGAGAATTATATGGTCAACGGCAACTTCGAGGAAGGCACCAGGCATTTAGCCAACGCCGTCTCCATGTACTCAAATCCGGAGAAGTTTCTTAAAACGCTCAAGGGGTGTTTGGATCCGGCTATTTATAAGATGCTTCTTAACACGTTGGTTAATGGAAATGGTGCGAGATCTGGGAAATCTTATCCTTATGATCCCTTCGAAAAGTATACTCTTAAAAACGCTCACTACTATTTACCTAAATAACGATTTTTGATTTTATAATAAAAAAAAAATGATGATGATAAGGTAACCTAACTTATACCTTTTTTTTTCTTTTTCTTGGAAGGATTTTTTTCACTATGTTATTTATATGTGGAAACATTTTGTCTACCAAACGTTGAGACAATAAAAATTGTTTATAAAATAATTTATTGATGTTTTTTATATAAATAGATTTTAAATGTATTTATTAATATTTAATTTTTTCCATATCCAAAGTAGTTCTAACCTAAATTAAGAAAATCAAACAATACCGCTACTATTTAGCCTTCTGCAAACAGAGTTTAGTCGTCTGTCCTTATTTTATAGTGGTATGTCAGCATTATCTAGTCTCTGTCACTACTATTTACCATTCTGCCACCAATAGCTAGTCTTCTATCAACATTATTTAGTCTTATATTGGCAATATCTACTTTCTGCCACTACTATTTCCTTTTCTGCCAGCAGTATTTAGTCTTCGCGATTCCTAACTAACCTTGTACCAGCGGTATTTAGTCTCTTTAATCACTATTTAGCCCTCTATCTGCTATATATAGTCTGCTGTAAGCATTATTAGTCTTTTATCAGCAATATCTAATCTCTGCCACTATTATTTAGTCTTCCGCCAAGAATAACTAGTCTCTGTAATTACTATTTAGTCTTCTGCCAGCAGTATCTAGCCTTTTGTCAGTATTGTGTTGTCTTCTGTCAACAGTATTTAGTCTTTCCGACTATTATTTTGTCTTCTGCCAGCAGTATCTAGTTCTTTGCAAGCACTTTCTAATCTCCCACAAGCAGCATTTGATTTTCTGCTAGTTGTGTCTGACCCATTCCCAATGAAATTTAGGTTTCTGGAAGCAAAATCCAGTCAGTTTTTAATCTACTACAAGTCGTATTTGGCAGTAATGGTATTAGCTGTATTAGTTTGTCTTGATTATAAAAAGGTTGGGTTTAGATGTAAATTAGATGGGTTTACATTGAGTATTGTTTGGATTTCGATGGGTGTATAGATGCGATAGATTCAATTTGAGCGTGGATAGATTCAGTTTGGTTTCTTTTGTGTGTGGATTAGCTTGAATGGATTTTAAGTTGTTTGATTTTTGTGACTTAGGTTGGATTGGATATGGGCCTATGACAATGAACCTAATAAAATCACCAGTTAAAGTGCGAAAAAGTCTTCAAAATTGATTTATCTAAATTAATACCAATTACCCATATCAAAAGTAGTTCCAACCCAAATTAAGAAAATCAAACAGGATTCATCCAATCCATAATAATGTCAAATCACCATATTCACACCGAAACCACTTAGTATATTATCTATACCATTACTATTTAGCCTTCTGCAAACAGAGTCTAGTCGTCTATCCTTATTTTATAGTCGTCTGTCAGCATTATCTAGTATCTGTCACTACTATTTACCCTTCTGCCAACAGTATCTAGTCTTTTATCAACATTTTTTTAGTCTTCTCTTGACAGTCTCTAGTTTCTGCCACTACTATTTCGTCTTCTGCCAGCAGTATTTAGTCTCCGCGATTGCTATTTAACCTTCTACCAGCAGCATTTAGTCTCTTTCATCACTATTTAGCCTTCTCTCTGCTATATATAGTCTGCTATTAGCATTATTTAGTCTTCTATCAGCAATATCTAATCTCTGTCACTATTATTTAGTCTTCCGCCAGGAATATCTAGTCTCTGTTACTACTATTTAGTGTTCCACCAGTAGTATCTAGCCTTTTGTCAGTATTGTGTGGTCTTCTGTCAACAGTATTTAGTCTTTCTGACTATTATTTTATCTTCTGCCAGCAATATCTAGTTCTTTGCAAGCAGTTTCTAGTCTTCCACAAGCAACATTTCATTTCCTGCTAGTTGTGTCTGACCCACTTCCAGTGAAATTTAGGTTTCTGGAAGCAAAATCCGGTCAGTATTTCATCTATTACAAGCCGTATCCAGCAGTAAAAGTATCAGCTGGATCTGGCTAGAATGATTTTGTGTTAGATTGTCTAGGTTAAAAAAGGGTTGGGTTTAGATGTAAATTAGATGGTTCATTATGATTTGCTTGCTTTGGATTGGGAATAGTTTGGCTTGGACGGTTTGGATTGAGTATTGTTTGGGTTTCTTTTGATTCATTTGATGAAACTCTGGCATATCGCACAATCTTGCCAAATATCTATTTAGGCAACACTCTTCATTCTATTTAGGGCCTCTTATTCAAAATATAATTTTATATAACTACTTAAGTAGTATATTGTCTGTACCACTACAATTAGCCTTCTGCAAACAGAGTTTAGTCGTCTGTCCTTATTTTATAGTGGTCTGCCAGCATTATCTAGTCTCTGTCACTACTATTTACCCTTCTGCCAACAGTATCTAGTTTTCTATCAACATTATTTAGTCTTCTGGTGGCAGTTTCTAGTTTCTGCCATTACTATTTCGTCGTTTGACAGCAATACTTAGTCTTTGCGATTGCTAATTAACTTCCTACCAGCAGTATTTAATCTCTTTCATCACTAGTTAGCCTTCTGTCAGCAATATCTAGTCTACTGTTAGTATTATTTAGTCTTCCGCCAGGAATATCTAGTCTCTGTGACTATTATTTAGTCTTCTGCCAGCAGTTTCTAGTCTTCCACAAGCAACATTTTATTTTCTGCTAGTTGTGTCTGATCCACTCCCAGTGAAATGTAGTTTTCTGGAAGCAAAATCCGGTCAATATTTAATCTACTACAAGCCATATCTAGCAGTAATGGTATGAGTTGGATTAGTTTGTCTTGGTTATAAAAGTGTTGGGTTTAGATGTAAATCAGATGGGTTCAGTATGATTTGCTTGCTTTAGGTTGGGAATAGTTTGGCTTGGATGATTTGGATTGAGTATAGTTTGGATTTCACTTGCTCAAACAGATTGTCTACCAAAGGTTGACAATTTTATATAAATAGATTTTAAATGTGTTTATTAATATTTATCTTTTAATCAAAAAACTAACACAATTTGTTATCGATTTTCATAAATAGAGGGACCGCTTTTTGCATCATGGAAACATCAATTATGGCATACAATGGAGGTAACAGAGAATGATGCAGATTTAGACAAGACATTGAATAGACGAGACAGCATCCGAACTGGTAAGTAAACCTTACTTCTATGTGTTTTGTTAACAGAGCACTTAATATTCTTACTTTTGATATACACAATACACTATTTAGTATTATTCAGTCTTTTGCCAACAGTATTTAATCTTCAATCAGCATTATTTAGTCTTATATCGACAGTATCTAGTTTCTGCCACATTCTATGTAATCTTTTTCCAGCAGTATTTAGTCTCTGGGACTACTATTTAGTCTTCTGCCAGCAACACTTAATCTCTCCGACTACTATTTAATCTTTTTCCAGCACGAGATAGTCTCTTTCAGCACTATTTAACCTTCTTCCAGCAATATTTACTCTGCTGATAGCATCATTTTGTCTGATATACATTTATTGACATTTTTAAAATATTTTCAAATAGCGCCATCTATGAAGTGATTGCTAAAGTTATACTCCCTTCATCAAATTATCATACTAAAAATTTTAAATAATAACCTTATTATATTAAAATAAATATTAAATTAAATTATTATAAACAACCACTTTTAATTAATATCTCAAAATTTTTAATAATATTTCATTAATCCATAACTAAATTAATACCTACTTTATCGACACCGTCAATTGTCATCTAACTGTCACTTTGACAAGTTCAGTGTTCTTAAACCTTTTTAATGATTGTGCTGTGATTGTTGTGTTCCCTTTTAAAGAAAAAAAAGTCTTTTCTACCTTGCCGTTAAGGCAATTTTTCAAATAAAATTAAAGGTGTATAAAAAAATGCAAGGGGTTGCTAAGAAAACTACGAAAATGTCGAAATGATCATCTTTGTTTAAATTGGATTTTTTTCTTTGCCGTGGGAGAAGAGTTTTTGGTTTTGATTTGTTTTGTTCTAAATGGTATGGCTGTAAATTTACCAAATATGCCTGTAAGAAAATATAGACGCGAAACGAGCGAAGTAAGCGGTTGCTTAAAGTATATGATTTTTGGTTTTAACGTTTTGTTTTGGGTAAGAATTGATGAATAACTTTTTAATAATTTATTAAAATTTGATTTAAAATCTTTAAGTTATTGGGATTGGGGATTTTAACTGTTGGAGTTTGGGCATGGAGCGAAAAAGACACATTCAATAATCTATCAAAAATTGCAAATGTAGCATTAGATCCCGCGTTTATATTGATTTGTATAGGTAGGAATGAAATCATTTATGACTCATTATTTTAATATTAATAATCTTTCTTTAGGAACTGTTACTTTTGTGATTGGTTTTACGGGTTGCGTGGGAGCATTAAGAGAAAACACCTGTTTATTAGCAACAGTGAGTCTCTTTCACTATTTGTTAAGATTTGACACACTTTACTAACACAATTTCACTTTATTTTTTTAAATTTATTATTATTCACTTTCAGTATGCCATTTTTCTATCGGTCTTGTTGTTATTTGAAATGACCGCTGGAATATTAGGATTTATTTTTAAAGATTGGGTAAAAACATTATCTTTTATTTATAAAATTCATTTTAAATTGTTTTTTTTTTATTTTTAGATTAAATCTCAAGCAACAATAGGATTTCAAACGTTTATTATACATTATAGGGAAGATCCTGATCAACAAAATTTAATCGATTGGATTCAAGAAGATTGGGTAAACATTTTTTTGTTTTAAAATTAATAAATTGAATCAGTGAAATTCAAAATTCACAGTTAAATATTAAATTTTAATGTTGAAATGTCAAAATTGATTAATACCAATACTTAATATGGAAATATCAAATTTATTTATTAGTTATCTTAAATCAGTGCTAATATCTTTTGAATACAGTTATAACCTGTATTAAGTAATAATCCCCATTTCCCTAGTTCCTAGTCTTGTTTACATTTGGGATTAACAACACCATTTGGCATTAAGTCTATCCTCTCTTCATTGGCCCACTTGGTTGGTTAATTTGCATCAATATAAATGAAGTAATCATAATAATTAGCTATTTCTAAGACTGTTCTAATCTTCTGTCTACATTTTATAGTATTCTGTCAGCATTATCTAATCCCTATCACTACTTTTACCCTTCTGAAACAGTATCTAGTCTTCTATAAGCATTATTTAGTCTTCTGGTAGCAGCATTTAGTCTCTGGGACTACTATTTAGTCTTCTAACAACAATTAATCTCCCTGATAATTATTTAATCTTCCACCAGCAGTATCTAGTCTCTTTCATCACTATTTAGCATTCTGCTAGCAATGTCCAGTCTGCTGATAGCATTATTTTGACTTCTGTCAGCAGTACCTAATCCCTGCCACTACTATTTAGTCTTCTGCTAGTAGTATCTAGTCTCTGTGACTACTATTTAATCTTCCACCAACAACACTTAATATCTCCCACTACTATTTAATCTTCTACCAGTAGTAGATAGTCTCTTTCATCACTATTTAAGCTCCTGCCTGCAATATCTACTCTGTTGATAGCATTATTTTGTCTGCTATACATATACATATTGACTTCTACAAAACATTATTACATTTATAGCCTGTATTAAGTAATAATCCTCATTTTCCCAGTTCCTAGTCTTGTTTATATTTGGGATTAGTAACACCATTTGGCATTAGGTCCATCGTCTCTTGATTGGCCCACTTGGTTGGTTAATTTGCATCAACATAAATGAAGTAATTATAATAATTAGCTATTTTTGAGACTGTTTTAATCTTCTGTCTACATTTTATAGTATTCTGTCAGCAATTTCTAGTCCCTATCACTACTATTTACCCTTCTGAAACAGTATCTAGTCTTCTATCAGCATTATTTAGTCTTCTGTCGACAGTATCTAGTTTCTGCCACTATTATTTAGTTTTCTGGCAGCAATATTTAGTCTCTGGGACTACTATTTAGTCTTCTGCCAGCAGTTTCTAGTTTCTTTCATCAATATTTAGCATTCTGCCAGCAATATCCAGTCTGCTGATAGCATTATTTTGAGTTCTGTCAGTAGTATCTAATTCCTGCCACTACCATTTAGTCTTCTATTAGCAGTATCTAGTCTCTCTGACTACTATTTAGTCTTCCACCAACAACACTTAATCTCTCTGACTACTATTTAATCTTCTACCAGCAGTAGATAGTCTCTTGCATCACTATTTACGCTCCTGCCTGCAATATCTACTCTGCTGATAGCAATATTTTCTCTGCTACACATATATTGACTTCTACAAAACATTATTACAGTTATAGCCTGTATTAAGTAATAATCCCCATTTTCCCAGTTCCTAGTCTTAGTCTTACATTTGGGATTAGGTCCATCCTCTCTTGATTGGCTCACGTGGTTGGTTAATATGCATCAACATAAATGAAGTAATCATAGTAATTAGGTATTTCTAAGATTGTTTGATAAACTTTTCTACTCTTTTATTTAAAATCGTTAGCATGTCTCTATATTTTTTATATTATGGATTCTTTGACCCATGTTTGGCAACACTATCATTATAATATAAGTAATATGCGCCTGTGAGCTATTCTTGTTTTTGAAATCACGAGGGTTTAAAAGGCAAAATAAAGTTTTTATGTCCAAGCCAGACACACTCAAATAAAATGTTTGATGGCAGAATAAACTGCCAGAAGCTCCTTATCAAAAGTTGAATACTTCGATTGGACTTTTGTTAATTTTTGGAAAAAAAATTCTAAAGGACTTCTTGCTTTGTTGTTAGTCTGAGATAAGACAGCACCTATTGAAGTATCTGAGACATCTGTAGATAGTGAAAGTAAGCCTGTTGATGAAGGAGGAGTTAAATTTGTACAATTAGACAATAAATCCTTTGCTTTAGTGAAGGAGGATTCTTGTTCAGCTGTCCAAGAAGCAATAATTATGTGTTTTTGTGACTGAAGTTTATTTACTAAATTATATAATGGAATAAGTAGGTACTTCAGAAATTTTGGGAATAAAACAGTGATAAAAATTTAACATTCCCAAAAAAACGTTGAAGACCTTTAAGTGTGTGGGTTGGTAGTGATTGGTCGTGGTCTGTCCTTATTTTATAGTCGTCTGTCAGCATTATCTAGTCTCTGTCACTAGTATTTACCCTTGTGCGAACAGTATCTAGTCTACTATCAACAGTATTTAGTTTTCTATTGGCAGTATCTAGTTTCTGCCACTACTAATTCGTCTTCTGTCTGCAGTATTTAGTCTGCGTGATTGCTATTTCATCTTCTACCAGCAGTATTTAGTCTCTTTCACCACTATTTAGCCTTCTGTCAGCAATATCTAGTCTGCTGTTAGGATTATTTAGTCTTCTATCAGCTATATCCAATCTCTGCCACTATTATTTAGTCTTCCGTCAAGAATATCTAGGCTCTGCGACTACTATTTCGTCTTCTGTCAGCAGTATCTAGTTCTTTGCAAGCAGTTTCTAGTCTTCCACAAGCAGCATTTTATTTTCTGCTGGTTGTGTCTGATCTACTCCCAGTGAAATTTAGGTTTCAGGAAGCAAAATCCGCTCAGTATTTAATCTACGCCGTATCTAGCAATAATGGTATAAGCTGGATCTTGCTAGAATGATTTTGCTTTAGTTTGTCTTGGTTATAAAAGGGTTGGGTGTAGATGTAAATTAGATGGGTTCAGTATGATTTGCTTGCTTTGGGTTGGGAATAGTTTGGTTTGGATTGAATATTGTTTAGGTTTCGCTTGGCGTGGATAGATTCAGTTTGATTTGCTTTTGGTGTGGATGTATTGGGGTTGGCTTGGATGGTTTTTATTGGGTTTTATAATAAGTTATTATAATATAAGTTATATGCGCCTGTGAACTATTTTTGTCATTGAAATCACGTGGGTTTTAAAGGCAAATACATTTTCTTATGTACAAGCCAGACACACTCAAATTGAACCCCTCTGATCCACAGACACACAAAACCAAGATTATTCTAGCCAACCTCAGCGCATCCACATCGAAATTAGGCTCAATACAAATCACATAAGCCAAACCTATTCCGCCCATATCTAAACTAGTTCCAACGTATGCGTCTGACCTTATTTTACAGTCGTCTGTCAACATTATCTAGTCTGTCACTATTATTTACCCTTCTGCCAACAGTACCTAGTCTTCTATCAACATTATTTACTCTTCTGTTGGCAGTATCTAGTTTCTGCCACTACTATTTCGTCTTCTGTCTGCAGTATTTAGTCTGCGCGATCGCTATTTAATCTTCTGCAAGCAGTATTTAGTCTCTTTCATCACTATTTAGCCTTCTGTTAGCAATATATGTATATATAGTATAGTCTGCTGTTAGGATTTTATTTATGAGGCTGTTAAGGAAGAACCTACGTTTGGTCATAGGTCTAATCACTGGACACTGGCATCTACAGAAGCACTTACTGAACATGGGAATAAGTGACAATGACATTTGCAGAGGATGCAGTAAGAAGGAGGAATCGGCGGAACACATTCTATGCGACTGCGCGGCCCTAACATTAAGGTTATCCATTTTTGGAGATATCCAGATTCGCATGAGTGGCATTGGGGTAGCACAACCAGGAGAAATTCTAGCCTTTGCCTCCAAGGTAATATGGCTGGAGGGACCTTAATAAAGTGCTGCGGGCGATTCAGCCTGCCTTCCCGCGAATCCAGAATTCAAAAAGCTGTTAGGATTATTTAGTCTTCTATCAATATCTAATCTCTGCCACTATTATTTAGTCTTTCGCCAGGAATATCTAGTCTCTGTGATTACTATTTAGTCTTCTGCCAGCAGTATCTAGCCTTTTGTCAGTATTGTGTAGACTTCTGTCAACCGTATTTAGTCTCTCCGACTATTATTTTGTCTTCTGTCCGCAGTATCAGTTCTTTGCAAGCAGTGTCTAGTCTTCCACAAGCAATATTTCATTTTCTGCTAGTTGTGTCTGATCCACTCTCAGTGAAATTTAGATTTCTGGAAGCAAAATCTGCTCAGTATTTAATCTACTACAAGCCGTATCTAGCAGTAAAGGTATGACCTGGATCTGGCTAGAATGATTTTGGTTTAGTTTGTCTTGCTTATAAAAGGGTTGGGTTTAGATAGATATAAATGAAATTCGGTTCTTTTTGGTATAGATCGGTTTGTTCAATAATTGATGAAACTTGTTTGATTTTTGTGACTTTGGTTGGACTAAATATAAAATGGACCTATGACAATAAACCTAATAAAAAGACCAGTTAAAATGCGAAAAAGTCTTAAAATTTGATTTATACACTTCTGATAGCACTCCGCCTAAATAATTAAACTAAATATATTTTACCTCTTTTTATTCTTTTCAAAAGCCTCTTATTCTAAATATAATTTTAGTCTTTTAAATAATCTTTCTCACATGTGTATAAACCGTAGATTTTAGTCAAGGTGACAAAAACCTGTCACTTTGACATTATGATCTGTCAAAATTGACGTTTAAATGTCAATATTTTAAGTAATTTTGTGTTTATATTAAAACCGTTTAATGCATGAATATTTTAACTAATAAATTTCATTTTTAGTTGCAATGTTGCGGTATTGAAGGACCCAAAGATTGGGACAGAAACAATTATTTTAATTGTTCTTCAAAGGCTGTGGGAAGTAGTGAGGCTTGCGGCGTTCCATTTTCTTGTTGTAAACGCAAACCAAATGTAAGTCGAAATTTATCTTTATTCATTTAAATTAAAATTTGTTTTTTTTTTGTTTTAGGAAATTATTAAGAATAAATTGTGTGGATACGACGTGAGAAAACCCGGTTTTGTAAGTATATCAATTCAAGATCTTTTTGGTTATGATTTCAATAAAACTAATAAATTTTAAAATTGATGGTGGTGGTGATTCTGCGAAAGCTTTGCTTCTCTTTTGTATAAAATAAATTTCTTAATTTATAAAATAGATAACAAATAACTAACAAAAACTGCTTCTTGGAATGCAGCGGGGTGAAAGACACATTTTTGAGCGCGGCTGTCTTAGAGCTGGTGAGGAGTGGATCGAAAGTAATTTGGTTCCTGTTGCTGCTGTTACTGTAGGAGTTATGGTCTTAAAGGTAGTCTTCTCGAATCATTTCACTCCTTTTAATTATTTTTTTTTATTTATTTCCTTTTATTTGATTAAATTTATTTTTGTTTGTTAATTAATTTCCAGTCTAATGTTCCAAATACAATTAATGAACAAGGTTGTTTACAAGCCATTGAAGAATGGACCGAAAGAAATATGATTTCCTTAGCTAGTTGTGTTATTTTTATCTTATTTTTTCAAGTGAGTTTTTTTAATTTTTAATTTTTTTTTAATTTTTCGTTTAAATCGGGTTAAATTGAATGATTAATAATGTTTTTGTACAGATTTTGGGTATTTGTTTCGCCCAAAATTTACGCGCCGACATCTTCGCTCAAAAAGCAAAATGGCATTGACAAATAAGGGGTCCCACCGCGGTTTAGTACAGTTTTTTCTGTCGTCCCGCGTGGGAGCCCTCAAATCGACGCGACAACCACGAAATTTATCAACAACCGGAGCAACAACTACAAGAAGAAATCGATTTCGTTTAAAAATTAGACGGTAAATATTAACTTATTAAAGAACAATTTTCATTAAGGGTTGTATTTGTAAATAATAACCAGGAAAATAATTTTAACTTGACTAAATAATGTGAATACGAGTCCTATTTGATAAAAAGTATACTGATTTTACTGACTTATTAGCTGTTATTGAATATAATAGAAGGATTAAGCTTAAATTGTTGTAATGCAAAAATGTGATATGTATGGGGAGAAAATACTAAAAAGAATACTCATTATTATGATTAAATAGATCAAAAAAAGGGGTTTTGATTGTTGTTGGATAGCTGACGATCATTTCAGAAGTAATTTTATGCGTGCAATCAAAATGTTGAGATTTTCCTCTATTTTATAATTCAGTGCCCTTCAAAATGCGCTATTAAAACGGTGCTGATAAACTGACAGTTAACGTGAATGAATGAGAATGTCAAAATGAACTTTGTAATGAAATTTCTAATCAAGATAAATCTTGGGCTCCACAACTTGTAAATGATGTGTTGAGCACCATAAAATGCTGGAATAATGCCAAGAATACAATTACAACAGTGCTCAGACTTGGACCATCACTTTAGGATTTGGGAATAATTCAAGAATAGCAAAGTCGCCTAACAATCGGTGATTTTTTTTTTAATCGGTAGGAAATGATCTAAAAAAGACGTTAACAATTAAAAAAAGTGCGGAAAAGTGTAGAACATACCGAAAAATCACTTCAAAGTTTTTATGCTACTTAATGTCTACTAATTTAATTTAGTTTATTCTATAGCCACGCACAAAATCAATGATCAACAGCATGATTTTTGTCTGTATTAAAAGGAAGATATACAGTGTGTTAATTAATTATTGTACCCGACGTCATCATTACAAGTATGCAACCAATATCACAGTATTGGTATTGCAATACGCGATTTGCGTATGATGCGTATTACACTGTGATATTGGTTGCATACTTGCAATGATGAGGTTGGGTGCGATAATTAATTAACACACTGTATATGTATTAATACTACAGTGTGTTAATTAATTATCGTACCCGACGTCATCATTGCAAGTATGCAACCAATATCACAGCATTGGTATTGCCGCAATAACTTTGTGCAAGATACCTGGCATGCCATAAAAATTACTTGGTGTAAAGTGGCCTTTAAAAGTAAAGTTATTTTCATTAAACTTTCTAAACCCTTGTTTTGTTAGGCTTTCAATGCATAACAGCTACAATTGATACAAAAACCCACAACGACTGAAATTTCTTTATTTACCGTCTACCTAATCACGTCGATAAAGTTAATCCACGTGATTAAAATAATCTATATGTTAATGTTATTTTTTAACGGACGGGGCGACTGTCACAGCTTCCGTCATCTCAGAAGTTGGTGCGCTCGCTTTCCTTTCAGTTGAAAATGAAATCTTCCAAATCCGAAGTACGGCCGCCAGCACAGTTCTTCCAGGGCTTTGACAGACACTTCGTCAACCGCGAAGATCCACGTCTACCCCGGTCCAGATCTGGTGGTATTTAAAACCGTCCATTCGGATATAAGGAGTGAGTTATTCATCACCTCCAATCGGGTTCCATGGGAATATCTCTCCCTCAACTGCCTTAATTTGGACACTGTCCCATGGTATTTACAACCCAGTCCGTCGAGCAGGCTTCCGTGCAGGTGACCAAAAGCCAGTCTGGACGCGTTGCACAGCTCTAAAACCGAACTCTTTTTAGATGTTGTCTACGGCTGAAATAACCTCCTTCTGTAGCAATCCAACCTGTTCTACATTAAACTGTTCAGCGGGATAGTCTGGGTAGATTAATCCAACCCTGATACCGCTCATAGCAGCTTCCCTAAAAGAGCTATGGGTTCCGTCGGTTGGATCTCAGCTGGGTTGGATCTATCAGAGCGCACCCTCTTGGCCAAAGGCTTAAGAGGTCTTCGCACTCTCCTCCGATGGAGTATTAAGTTTGTCAATCGCCTGCTTTAAGGCACTCTCATAAAGCTCCCCATAAGCTTGCGCAGGTTCCTTCTAGCAGACCCTGGCAGCCGCAGGCGTTTTTGTTTCAGAGCTAGACTGGTGCCTTGACAGCTTTGTCTTCATTTTCCTTCCCTTCAGAGTGCAGAAGAATCAGCTTCTCTTCAAAAGAGGAAGAACTTGCCTTGGGCGTGAACGGTTCAGCTGCCACAAGTGTGGATTGTGGTGGACGACTATCCTTCATCTTTTTTATTACCTTTACAAGATCGAGGTTTATCCCTCCTTCGTCTAGTGTTTTATTTTTGCTGGGCGTCTCCATACTTATCCCACGAGTAGGGTAGTCCATCTGGCCAGTGTTCCCATACCTCAGTAAGCCTATTAAAACTGAAGGTTGGCAGGTTTCCAGAGTTCGTTTATTAGCAGCCATCACTTCCCGGATAATTAAACCGTCAGGTACATGAAAGCATATGCAGACCGTGTCGTATACCACACTCATGCGTCCTAGTGCTAGAGTCTAAAGTGCTCTGCATAAGCTGTTCCACATTCATTTTGAGGTTTTTAATGAGATTGTTTCCTCTCGACCTAGGCAATTAAGCCAAGATGAAATGCATACCCTACCCGTGGAACAGATCCAAGAACAATAGCCATATATGGTATAACAGTTTCGACTATATATATGCGACTATATGGCAAGTCTAGATCCGACACTTTTTGTATGGTACAGGGACACCTCGTAAAAGAGCAGTAAAATTGAAGTGTCGATCCTGATTCAGGTCATAAGACATGAACCCTGAGTACAGCAAAACAAGTAAGAGAAGCCTACCAAGGATTCACCGCACCCTCACCCCCTATTATTAATGTAACTAAAAATCTTAGTCGTGTACAAAAAGTAATGTCAGTAGGATTTGCATCCTTTTCACATAATATAGGGATTCAATCAATTTTAATTAATAAATTACAAATACATTCCGTTAATACGTTTATTTAATACTGATATAAGGCAACTACATCCTCGCCACACTGCTGTAAACCCAACTCTACATTCGTGCTAGTTTAAATATTAATTAACTCTGTTTTTGACGTTACCAAGACTGCACTACGAGGTGAACAGAGACGCAACCTAAAAATAAAGTATAGCTATATATGTAGTAGTATTATAATTTGAAATAGAAAAATTTAAGGTTCGTTATTATCGGATGGATACTCATCTGCGATTTCCTCCAGGTCCCGTTGCTCAAATTCCGCCGCCTTATCAAGTTTCTTCGCTGTGCACGATTTCTGGCAAATACATCTGGCAAGATTCCCTGGGAGATGATTTTTGACGATTGGATTCGATAGCGTTGGTGTGCGAGCCAGTTTCCGGATCCTTAAAATTAATAGAATGATTATAAGCAACCCCTGAATGGTACTATAGATTCGTCTATGGATATTACCTCCGAGGGGACTTTTAGTTGTTTGAATTTATTGGTTAGTGCATCTGTAAGTGGTCTAATTTTATATATGATATTTTTGGGAGTTTGCCTAGTCCTATACACAGCATAATAGCAAAGAACTTTTCCAATTCTTGGACAGAAACATCAATCCAATTTGAATTGTTTCTCCTAGCATTTTTATTTATTTCCAGTGCAATAGAATTTAAAATATCCAAATCCACAAAGTGTCTGAAAATGTCGTATTACTAATTCTACCGATGTATATTAAATCTCTCTTTGTAGTTATCCATTGCTTCCTCAGGACAGTGCGCACTTCACTTTAGAACTTTCCTGCTCAATTCGTTTTACTCGTTCATTACCTATACATCATGGTGAAGCTTTTTGTTTTAGAAAAGCCCGGTTTCCTGAATTAAATGAGTACTTTAATGAAATCGACTGGAAATCAGAACCGCTGATCGTGATATCAACGATGCTGTTCAAATTTTTTTACTGCTATACGTAAATTTGTCCCTTTAAAACGCAAAACTATCAAAGGTTTTCCCACTTGGTTTTCATATAATACCATTAAAGTTATTCGAGAGAAAAGGAGGGCGCACTGTAAATGGAAACGTTTTGGCAACCTCACTTTTTCAATTCTGAGTCGTGTAAAGTATCTAATCCATCACAATTACATGGAGTATGTTAGAAGAGCTGAAAGCAATATCCAATCTGATCCAAAGGTGTTTTGAGCTTTTACTAAGTCTAAGAAGCGTGCGAACGTCATTCATTCTACGATGTCATGGAATGGAACTTGTTGATGCTACTCCAATCCAGCAGAATATAGATTGTGTAGAAATGGATGCCCTTTGAGTCATATGCAGTTTGACAGAATTGAGGTTGCGCTTGTTATTCCATCAATTTTAATAAAGAAATGTTCACACTCTCTGTCCCTTCCTTTAACTATTTTATTTAATGCTTCATTAATAATGAGTGTCTTTCCTTCATTGTGTAAGCGGGCTTTTGTTCTTCCCATTTTTAAGTCGGGGGACCGTGGTGTTATATCTGATTATCGCCCCATATCTATTTGCCAGCATTTGGGAAAGTGTTCTTTGCCCTTAAGTCTAAAATTGTAGACAACATGGTTTTTTTGCTGATCTAGATGATGCTTGTCAAGTTGATTCAGTTTATACGGATTTTAGTAAAGCTTTCGACCAGGTGGATCACAACTTACTTCTGTTTAAACTAATGAAGTTTGGTGTTCAGGGGAAACTTTTGCAATGGCTTGCTTCCTATCTGAAGGAGAGATGCCAGATTGCTTCGGTTAATGTTTTTTTTTCTAATCCTGTGTCGGTGCCTTCTGGTGTTCCACAGGGAAGCCCTTTACTGTTTAATATTTATGTTAACGACATATTTAACGTCATTAATTATGCCCAATGTTTAATGTATGGTGACGATTTAAAACTCTTTCTCCACATCTCCTCACCTCTTGATTGTTCTAGGCAATCTGCCTTAAACAATTTACATGATTTTGACTTAAATAATCGCCTTTTAACTTATCAAAGTGTAATATTATTTCCTTCTCTAGGAGGGTGAACACAATCCACTACAGTTATAGCGTCGCTGGTGAGAGGTTGCAACATGTCTCATTTATTAGAGATTTGGGAGCAATTCGAAATCTTTATTTTTGTTTATGTCTACACCACACTTAACTTTTGCAGCGTCGTTTAGATATCTTTATAAATCTAGAATTGAGCGTATTCAATCTAAATTCCTCAAATATCTTTGTTTTAAATTTTCCGTTTAATACATTGATTACGAATCAACTTGCACTTCTTTTCGTATGTTAACTTTCAACCAGCGTCGCTTTTGTGGGGATATGTTATATTTTTACAAACTTTTTGAACAACAAGTGTGATTCTCCAATGCTTGTTGGTTCTATATGTGTTCATGTTCCTCCGAGATTACTTCGCTTTGACTTTCTATTTATGACACCTACTCCTAGAACCAATCCCTGTTAAAACTCTCCTTTATTAAGAATGGCAAGATCAGCAAATCGTGTTAACATAGATCTGTTTCAGCATTCTTTCTATGCATTTAAAAAAACTGCTCTTTGCTGCAGTTGGTATGTTGCCTCGAGGGTTCATTTGATATTTGATTTACAGTGGGTCACTTAAGTATTTGTACACCTAATATTTTCAATAGAAATTGCAAAGGAGGTAAACAAAGTCAAATTTTAAACTATATTTTATTTACACAAATGAAAACAATAACAGAACTCTTAATAACATTTAAAAAAAAATAAACAGTTTATGAATTTTTAAAGATAATGAAATTTTTGACATCACAAAAGTATTTGTACACATTACCAAATTAAACCAGATGCCTCTTAAACCAACTATCTAATACTTGGTATGCATTCTGTTAGCATTTATAACGGCTTGTAATCGTTTTGGCATGGACATTACCAATTTGGCTGTTATTTCTTGGGAAATTTTCTTCCATTCTGACTTCAGGTGTGTTTTTAAATCATTTCGATTGTGTATTTGATGTTTTCTAATATTAATGTTTAAAATATGCCACAAATTTTCAATTGGGTTAAGGTCTGGACTTTGGGGTGGGTGTGGAAGCGTTTTAAGCCCTGTATATAAAAACCATTCCTTAAGGATCCTTGCTGTATGCTTAGGGTCGTTGTCTTGCTGGAACATAAAGCTGTCCTCTAGACCCATTTTACGTGCACTACTCAATAAATTATCTTGCAAAATCTTAAGGTAGGTTTTAGCATCTATAATGTTATCAATAAAGTGTAAATTTCCCACTCCATTGTACGACATGCAACCCCAAACGAGAACGTGCCCTCCCCCATGCTTTACCGTTGGAATTAAATTTTTCGTTTTTTGCTTTTCGCCAAATCATTTGTCGGCCGTCAGATGAAAATAAGTTATATTTTGACTCGTCGCTAAAAATAATATTCTTCCAAAACATTATTCACATATTCATTTGCAAACTGTAGTCGCTTAAGTCGATTTCGCTCACTTATGAACGGCTTTTTACGTGCTACTCTTCCATGGTAGCCGGCTTTACGGAGAACTCTTCTTACGGTTTCAGGATGAGCCCTCTCTGCGATATGTACAGCCAAATTTTGAGCGCTAGTTTTGGGATTATCTTGGACTTCTTTCAGAATAGCCCGTTGTTCACGATCGCTTAGTATTCTTGGTCGTCCAGAGCGATGCATGTTTTCTACACTTTTGCTGGTGTTAAACTTGGTAATTATATAGCGAACAGTAGAGTGTGGCCGTTTAATAATTTTAGCACTTCTTTAGTTTTCGGCATTTTGACTCAAACACTGATACGATACGATAGGTTATTTATTAGCACGCGTCTGTAGGGATGTTATCTTAACAACAACTGATGTACAACTAACGCTGCGGTCTCTGTGCGTGTCTAGACTTGTCCGAAATACTAGTGTACAAATACTTTTGTGACATCGTATTTCAGATTTTACTCAATATTCCATTCGGAAAATACTTATTAATTATTTCAAATGTATACTATTTCTCAGCACATGTATCTGATTAGAGAAAATGTAAAAAAATGCTTCATATGCTGTTTAGCTTTTTTTTTTAGTAAATTGGTCCTGTGCAAATACTTAAGTGACCCACTGTATGAGTTTTTTCCTTTTGATTCACTTTTGTTCCATTAATATTAATTCATTATTATTATTGTGAACTGTAATTTTATTTGTATACAATTGGTTCTTTGTGGTACAGTGTTATTAGGTTCGACCTGTTTCTGTACCCACTTGAGATAAATAAATAAATTCTATGAATTAATGGTATTGTGTTTCCAACTCGGATTCTGTTATTCCGACCCATTATGAAGAAACGGACCATCTTCATGATTTTCTGGATGTAGGTTTTGTGTTCGGTAGTTTTGACTTGCTAATTCGCCACTCTCTCTAAACTCATCTTCTTGCACTTCGTTGCCATTTCGACCATTTTCTAAAGATAAAAATGTTTGTATTCGTGTTTCTTATATCACAACCTCAAAATTTATTACTTTTAGATTCTAGCTCATGCAACCATCGTTTCGATCCATATTTCACAAAGTAACTCTAACTCAAAAACAATCAAGTTATAAGTGTTTGAGCACATACTCTCTAAAATTTACCGCCATTACTAACCTCATTATTTTATCACGGTTTCTTTTCCACGAGCCTGATCGTATTTGGCGTTTTCGTGGTTTATTAATTTCTTCTTCAATATTAATTTCCATTTTACACAATATAATAACCGCAATGAACAAAAATTTAGCGTTTCTATAAGATATTTAAGATCATAAATGCTTTAACGCATGCGCGGTGGATTTCGATGGGATATGGTCTGTTTTGACACAAATAAGAAAGGGAAAACATGCAGAGAGCCATCTAGAGTTGCAAAATAAAATAAAACCGAAAATAACAAATTGTGGATTTGGCCGTTTTTGATCCTAAGCTACTCAGATAGTCGTTATGCATCGAAAACCTAAGAAACAAGGGTATTCATCCGAAAATATATGTTTTAATGTTAATATTATGTTTTAATGGCGTCAGATTTGGCGGGAAGTACATGTTAATTGTTAGTTCATCTGAGCAAAAGAATATTGTGTACAAAAATAGGAAAAAAAGCCACAACATCTCAAAATCCTGACGTGATGATCCAATTCTGAGTTCGAATTACTCAAAAATTACTTCGAAAATGATTTTTAGCTTAACAAAACCTTGCAGATCTGTGTAATTAGAGATTGATGTTTTTTTTGACACTGCCAATTGAAATTTTTTTAAATGGTGATCTTGAATTTGTTTAATTTAATGAGATGATGAAAAGAATCGTTGCTCATTGTTAAAAAATTTTTAATTATTAAAAAAAATTGATAATAATCGTATAAAAACCGATTAGTAACTCTTGATATTAAAAAGCTGCTACATTTTCAAAAATTAAGTGATATATTGTAAATACTCATTAATACTTCAATAATTAAAAAAAAATTAATTGTAATTGGAGTAATTAATAAAGATGAAATAAAACTAGTTCCTTCATCTAATCCACCATAAAGTCAAGGTTTCCTTAAAAAAAGGTGTTAATTTGAGTTTATTTAGTTTATTTTAGTAAATAAATTAAATTGTAGGGTAATAATTAAATTACTTTGAATGATGTGGTGACGATAATTCAGGTTGGATACATCTAGTTTTACCAGATTTGGTTGGAATCCATCGGAAATACGCGATAAAGTAGATATCTCACCGCTTTTTGTACCTGGCGTGCGAAAATTGACAAACTAAATTGATAAAGTATCGATAAAAACAAAGTTACTTCATTTAGATAATAAATAAATACTTGTATGCGAATTCCAAAGGTTATCTGGACATTGTTAAAGCAATTTTAAAATCCGATTAGATTCAGGTTCATCATCAAAGGGAAGAGATGAAAGAGGTTGAAAAGGGACGAAGGTGAAGAAGACGAGCGATTTCTATTTTTGAAATTTTGTAAATACATGAGCTAAGTTGTAGCGGATTCAATTTAAACTTGAGGTTATTAATATTTGGAATGTGATTGCTTTGATTCAATGATTGAAAGATTTATATTTATTTGTGGAAACTAAATTTCAACGAAAAATGTTTCGAAATTTCAATCTAATCGAACTTTAATTAAATTAATTGTTGATACAGATATGTTTGGCAACCCTTAAATTTGATTACAACTTAAAATTGATTACAACAAAGAAAATCAAATAAACAACAAATATTTTTATTGGGATATATCAGATAATAATTAAAAGTAAATAACATAAAGTTACTAAATTATAAACCTGATCACCACACACAGGTATATGTGGCTTAACAAAAACGTGTCATTACTAGTTGGAACTGGATCCAACCAATAATATTTACACTCAAAGGCACACTTCAAGTCATCGGTTTTTAGTTGTTATTTCAAAAAATCCCCTCTCGAACTCGAAAATCACCATTAAGATTACAAAAAAGGAGGGAAATATTAAATGTGTTAATTTAATTTTTTTTTTTATATAAAATTTGAAAATGATCCTTGTCCTACTTAAGGAACATAACTTTATTGTTTTGATTTAAAATGTTGTATTCATTTTAATTCAACAAGGTTTAAAGTCTTTATGATAAAAATCAGAAATTCCTTTAAACCGTAACAAGTGCGTCTTAAAAGCACTTAATAAATCAAGATCAAATCATCAAAAATTTATTTAAAATAAAAAAAAAATAACTTGGTGATTTGAAGTAACTTTGAAGGTCACCAACAAAAAATTATTCTTATATAATTACTACTTACAACATTTAATACATTTTTGACTCACCAAGTTTTTTTTTAACGATTTTAAATAAACCCAAAATTTTTTTTTACGTCACTATTATTACGTTTTAAATTGATTCTAGACTCCGTTTATATTCAACATTTCGATTGCGTCAAATAAAGTCCCCCCATTTTCTCGCACCGAGAAACACATTGCCGCGTATAAAACCCGAACTCGATCGCCGCAACATTTCAGTCAATTCCCTTATCCCTTACCAAGTGTTTCAACCCAATAATACTCCCTTAATAATAATAACTTTATAAAGTTAATATTAATTTTGTTGTTATAAATATAAACTTTTATGTATTTTAATTTTTAATATGGATCGTTTTTCAATTCATCAAATTAATAATAAAAACAATCATAACGGTGTTGATAACGCGGGTTTGCAACTTCATGAAAATGGGGTTCATCATCTTCATGCTGGTATCGATACGTTACCGCATTTATTGACGACCACTTCAACTACTTGCTTATACGAAGAGAATCCGCAGAAAAGGAAGAGATCTTTAGTGCAGTTAACCAGGGAGGCTTTACCACGGCTGGAAAATTATAGGAATTCGAGGAGGGCTTTGAAACGACCATCATTGGGGGAATTACATGGAAGCGATGAAAAAACTAATAAGGTAAAATATATCTTTTTTTTATTTTTGATTCTTAATATTAAGTAAAACTTAATAAAAGAAATTATTAAAAGATATTGCGAGTAAGATATGATAGAAGCTATTCGGAGTAAATTGAGGGTTATTAGGAGTAATTGAGATTAAGAAATTTTTGGAAAATGAAAAGTTTTCGTTGTAAAAAGTTATCACTTATATTTGTCTGGTAGGAAAAATATTGGTTAAGTTGCCTCAACATCGCTCCTAATATCTCTTAATAATAATAATAATAATATATTTATTAGCTTTTTCACATACATAATTAGTTAAAGCTTATCGGAGCTAGCTCAGACAACATCGAAACGTAGCCTATTCTACCCCAACCCTCTTTAATTAATATACAAAAAAGAAAAATACATCATCTTTCCCCTATCTTTACTTATTCTGAAGCTCACACAAAGTACCCGTGAATTTCAACTTGAAATGCTGCTGGGTGTCTAAAGTTTTTAACGTACTAGAGAGAGAGAGAATTCCAAAAACTGGCGATTCTGAAACTAAAAGAATGTCGACGAATATTAATATTATGCACATCAGTACGATAACTAATTTTTTTATGTAAATATATATGCACTTTATCAGCGAATGCTCCAAAAAACACTACACCCTCATGTAGCTTGACTCTATTTGACATATTCAACCATCTAATACCATAAAGTATCATAAATAAATCGAAGACAGCAAAAATTTTGAACATACTGAATTCTCCTATTTGATTCTTTATTAATACAAGCGCCATAAACCGAATCACGGTGATTAAATAAAGAAAGAATCAATGAGTCCGTAACAGTACGTTTCATTTAAGATATGCCGATAAGAATATAATGATCTAAGAATACCGTATGATTTCTGAATAATTTTATTTACGTGGGTATGAAATTTTAAATCGTTATCAATTCATAAACTTAAGTTTTTAACAGTACTGACATACTGTAATTGTTGACCATTGACAGTAATACTTAAATGAGACATCGTTCTTTGATATTTGTCTACATCGTCTCTAATATCGACTATAATATCCCCTTACTCCCGATGTTATTCCTAATATGCCTCAAGATCGTTGTTGATAAACATAAACATCATCCCTAATTGTTTTCGAAGTCGTCCCTAACAACGTGTATTTACTCTCGATGATATATTTCCAACATCCCTCAACGTTGCTCCTAATATCTTGAAACATCGCTCCTAACAACTCGATTTTATTCTTAATATGACACAAAATCATCTTTGATATCTGTTAACATCGTCCCTAATCGCTCTAGATATTGACCCTAACATCGCTCCTAATAACTCTCGATATCTTCCATATCATCGCCTATCTATTCTCTATGTTATTCCTAACATGCCACAAAATCACCTTTGATATCTATTAACATCGTCCCTAATTGCTTTAAATATCGAACCTAACATCCATTAACATCGCTCCTAATAACTCTCGATATCGCCATCGCCTATCTATTCTCTATGTTATTCCTAACATGCCACAAAATCATCTCTGATATCTGTTAAGATCGTCCTTAATTGCTCTTGATATGGACCCTAATATCCATTAACATCGCTCCTAATAACTCTCGATATCCTCCATGCCACAAAATCGTCTCTGATATCTGTTAACATCGTCCCTAATTGCTTTAGATATCGACCCTGACATCCATTAACCTCGCTCCTAATAACTCTCGATATCCTCCATGCCACAAAATCGTCTCTGATATTTGTTAACATCGTCCCTAATTGCTCTAGATATTGATCCTAACATGGCTCCTAATAACTTTCGGCATCCTCCATGCCATCGTTTATTTATTTTCTATGTTATTCTTAATATGACACAAAATCATCTCTGATATCTGTTAACATCGTCTCTAATTGCTCTAGATATCGATCCTAACATCCATTAACATCGCTCCTAATAACTCTCGACATTCTCCATGCCACAAAATCGTCTCTGATATCTGTTAACATCGTCCCTAATTGCTCTAGATATCTACCCTAACATAGTTCCTAACAAGTCTCTATATCCTCTATGCCTTCGTCTATCTATTCTCTATGTTATTCCTAACATGCCACAAAATCATATCTGTTAACATCGTCCTTAACTGCTCTAGATATCGACCCTAACATCCATTAACATCGCTCCTAATAACTCTCTATCTCTTCCATGCTACCGCTTATCTACAGTCGATGTTATTCCTAATATGCCTCAACATATTTTTTGATAATTATAAACAACATCCCTAATTATTTTCGAAGTCGTTCCTAACAATGTGCATTTACTTTCGATGATATTTCCAACGTTGCTCCTAATATCTTGAAACATCGCTCCTAACAACTCGATGTTATTCCTAACATGCCACAAAATCATCTCTGATATCCATTAACGTCGTCCCTAATTGTTCTATTTATCGATATTAACATCGCTTCTAACATTAATTAACATCGCTCTTAATAACTCTCAATATCCTCCATGCCATCGCCTATCTACTCTCGATGTTATTCCTAATATACCTCAACATTGTTTTTGATAATTATAAACATCATCCCTAATTATTTTCGAAGTCGTCCCTAACAACGTGCATTTATTCTCGATGATATTTCCAACGTTGCTCCTAATATCTTGAAACATCGCTCCTAACAACTTGATATTATTCCTAACATGCCTCTAAATCATCTCTGATATCTGTTAACATCGTCCCTAATTGTTTTAGATATCGCCCCTAACATCCATTAACATCGTTCCTAATAACTCTCGATATTCTTCCTTAATATACCTCAACATAGTNATTACTTTAGATATCGACCCTAACATCCATTAACATCGCTCCTAATAACTCTCTATCTCTTCCATGCTACCGCTTATCTACAGTCAATGTTATTCCTAATATGCCTCAATATAGTTTTTGATAATTATAAACATCATCCCTAATTATTTTCGAAGTCGTCCCTAACAACGTGCATTTATTCTCGATGATATTTCGAACGTTGCTCCTAATATTTTGAAACATCTCTCTTAACAACTCGATGTTATTCTTAACATGCCACAAAATCATCTCTGATATCTGTTAACATCGTCCCTAATTGCTCTAGATATCGACCCTAACATCCATTAACATCGCTCCTAATAACTTTTGATATCCTCCATGCCATCGTCTATCTACAGACGATGTTATTCCTAATATGCCTCAACATTGTTGTTGATAATTATAAACATCATGCCTAATTATTTTCGAAGTCGTCCTTAACAACGTGCATTTATTCTCGATGATATTTCCAACGTTGCTCCTAATATCTTGAAACATCGCTCCTAACAACTTGATATTATTCCTAACATGCCTCTAAATCATCTCTGATATCTGTTAACATCGTCCCTAATTGTTTTAGATATCGCCCCTAACATCCATTAACATCGTTCCTAATAACTCTCGATATTCTTCCTTAATATACCTCAACATAGTTTTGAAACATCGCTCTTGTTAGGAGATTATCCCTAACATCCTACAAAATCATCTCTGATATCTGTTAACATCGTCCCTAATTGCTCTCGGTATCAACCCTGACATAATCTGTTTTATCTCGATATCATCTCCAATATCCTTCAACAATATCTCCTTATATCACACTTAGCTCTTGATGTTGTTCCTAATACATCAACATTTCTACTTTTGATATCATTCCCAACATCATATTTCTTAACATTACCCTTATCTCCTTAGTATGTCATGTTTTATTTTAACATCGTTCCTAACTTAATTTCGATGTCATCCCCGAACTTATTTCGATGTAATTCCCAATTCAACATCATCCCTAATATCTCTTTATATCACCCTAAGGTACTCCCTAACATTCCTCAACATCATCTCCGATCTCTAGTAACATTCTTGTTAACAACTCTTGATGTAGAATTTGACAGCGTCTCTTTATACTTTCTGATGTGCCTCAACATTGAACTTGATATCTCTTAACATCGTGCCTAACTATTCTTGATGTCTTTTTTAACATAGTCTACCTATTCTGGATGTTATTTTTAATATGCTTCTTCTAGAACTTGATATCTATTAACATGGTGACACCACTAATATCCTTCAACACTTAACAACATCCCTAACATTTCGAAGTCCTCCCTAACACCAACCTCGATGTTGTTGCTAATATATTCTTCAACATCATCCCTAATATCTCTTTATATCACCCTAAGGTACTCTCTAACATGCCTCAACATCATCTCCGATCTCTATTAACATTCTTGTTAATAACTCTTAATGTAGGATTTGATAGCGTCTCTTTACACTTTATGATGTGCCTCAACATTGAACCTGATATCTCTTAACATCGTGCCTAACTATTCTTGATGTCTTTTTTAACATTGTCTACCTATTCTGGATGTTATTTTTAATATGCTTCTTCTAGAATTTGATATCTATTAACATGATGATACCACTAATATCCTTTAACACATAACGACATCCCTAACATTTCGAAGTCCTCCCTAACACCAACCTCGATGTTGTTGCTAACATATTCTTCAACATCATCCTTAATATCTCTTTATATCACCCTCTAACATGCCTCAACATCATCTCCGATCTCTATTAACATTCCTGTTGACATCTCTTGATGTAGAATTTGACAGTGTCTTTTTACACTTTCTCATGTGTCTCAACATTGAACCTGATATCTCTTAACATCGTGCCTAACTATTCTTGATGTCTTTTTTAACATTGTCTATCTATTCTGGATGTTATTTTTAATATGCTTCTTCTAGAATTTGATATCTATTAACATGATGATACCACTAATATCCTTTAACACATAACGACATCCCTAACATTTCGAAGTCCTCCCTAACACCAACCTCGATGTTGTTGCTAACATATTCTTCAACATCATCCTTAATATCTCTTTATATCACCCTAAGGTACTCTCTAACATGCCTCAACATCATCTCCGATATCTATTAACATTCCTGTATAACTCTT